TTTTAAAATATGCCCTAATTTTGATACAAAATGAAACTGTTTTAATGTCATAGCTTGATATTTTATTAGAAATTTTGTGTTTGCTTTGAAACGCACCGCACGCAGTTATATTTTGTACATAGCTCATACAATATTATTTTTAATATATGAATTTGAAATTCATAGCCCTTTTACTTAAAAAGTTATTAAAATAAGTATATATATATATATATATATATATATATATGTATATATATATACACACATACACAAGGATCATCTGTGCATAATAAATTTTCACAAGTGTTTATGCCATGATTTAAAATATTCCTTCTGTACGAGATAAATGAAAGATACCTCAAGTAATTGCTCATATGTGTACATTTATATATATACATAATTTAAGAAAGGCGAACAAACTTAAAAAAGACCTTTGTGGTCAAGAATTTTGCGCATTGAGCTGCAAAAATTAAAAAACAAGGTAAAAAGAATATTCTTCATGCTTTTGCTTTGAGGCAGAAGTGATACTGTGGTTCCGGTGAATAATTTTAACACAAGTTAAAATAAAGTGCAATTAAAATTGTAAGTACAAGATAAATGAAATTATCACTAGAATACTTACTAATAAAAAGCGAATTTAAAACTCAAATCAAATTGGAAGTATAATAGATTGAAGTTAAAACTATCGTAAAACATTTGAACAGAAATACAAAAGTTATATAAGACATAAGCAAAAATACAAAAAGCGGTAAATTGTAAATTACCATAATTCGAATCTCATTATGGACTCTTCAGGGGAAATGCAATGGTTTTCGAATCCATCTAATTCCATATCGCCTTTCGCCTAAACAGAATAATCGAGATTGTACACGAAACATTTTGATTATTTAGCTGATAAAATAACCTAGTGGGATATGATGAGTCGGATCTCATGCTAGTGCATGACACGTGCGACGCCTGATAAAATAACCTAGATAAAAACTTTAGTCTCAATTTCTCTGTTTCATTCCTCGACGCGTCCGCTTGTTAAAAGTAAATGAGAAACACATTAATGGTGTAAGAAAAAGCTATACAAACTAGCCTGGTTAGGCAAATGTACAAAATAAAATAAATAGCGAATTGTTATTAGTCAATAATACAAGATTTTTACCTAGTTTAAAGAGTTTAAACTTTGTAAAAGAAGGGAAAAACTTTAAAATTAAAACTAAAAGCGAATTAATTTCGGTCTTGCTATGACCAAAAATTAAAACGGGAAAGAAAAGAATTTTTTAAAACAGACCTTGATCGGCGACTTCTGCTGCGAAAAGCCATGTGTTAAAAATGGACGTTTGCCTCCAGAAAAGATAAGAAAGAAGCTCACCATCGAGGTGGAATGACGTAAAAGGGGAAGAAATGTCATGAAGCTACAGCCGATGAAAAGTGACAGACAGTTGGCAAAACCTGACTCAGATAGTGTGGGGGGTTAATTTGTTCAAGAGGGCGTCTTCGTCATCGTAATTTCTAGAAAGTTGGGAAGGGGTGAAATTCAAAATGGCTTATTCCAAAAAATGGTAAAAATTGGCTAGACAGCAAATAGAAATTAGAAAAATACAGTAAATTGTTAATTAAAGTCGGAATTCTTCAAGCTAGAGGGCTTTCAAGCTTCATGAAACGAAAGAGGCCCATAAAATCAATAAAAGGATAGGAATGGCCAGAAAAAGCTTAACCATTCAAGAATAGAATTTGAAGTACTGAGCCAAACGTGGAGAGTAAAATTGAAGTTGTGAGAAGCATTAACTTTATATTTTTACATTAGATCGTTTGAATTAGCCATCCATTAATCACCTTCCCAATGGGATTTAAGTAAAAAATTTCATTATCTAACTCAAAAAATCTAAAAGAACAGGTAAATGCCAGCTTTTTTTAATGAATTTTTAATGACTTTTTTTGGAATAAGGTTGCTATGTCACAAAGACGAAAATTTTGGAAATTCATAAATAATAAATTTCAAATAAATATGTATGTGATATTTTAATTGCGTTAGAATATGGATGCATAAACCAGAAACTTCTAGTCGTAGCCATTTCGAAACATAATTTTTATTCTATGATAATTCACATCAGATAATTTTGGTAGACAAGATATTTATCCAATCATATTTAAATACGATAATTTTTATGTACACGAGATTTAAAGTACGTCGTCATCTTGGATAAGTAAGCATAGCAGCAGAGGTTTTGGATGGCAGGAGAAGTTAAGAAGAAGATGCGATGTAATTGATCGTGGAGCAGTATTTATACGTGGTAGGTGAGCTAAGCTGTGATTGTTTAATTTTAGGTTTTAGTTTTCATTTCAAGCAGTGTTATGTAATTTGAAAAGATCTCGAATTCGGGAGAACAGATGATCTTAGGGGGGACAACATAAAATCTAGTACAGTCAGTTTTGAAGTTAGCAATTATTTCTTAACATAGCCATCGTATTTTATTATATGTTACATGTATGTATAGGGAACTGCTTTAAATTCCTGTTAAGTTAGAATTCTTTAAAAAAGTAATAAATTCTTAAATCTAAAATTAAAATAGGTAAATAAAAATATAAACAAATTATTAGACAATAGCATACACCAGTTGGAACATAAAGCAAAGACAGTTTTACAAATGAACTCTAGAAGTCAAAACTCTAGAAGCACTTCTTGCTTTACTTCCATGCTACTGACATGCACTTTCAGTTTATTCAGATTTTATTTACATTGAACGATTTAATAAATGAGTTTTTAGACTAAGTTTTTTTTTTTTTTTTGTCTCATTTATATGCGTCATCACCTGAACAAATTCGTTGTAATTTGCTATTGAGCTTTTAGTGCATTTCCGCACAAAAACGAATTTAAAAACAGCGTTTCGATGGAAGAAGGAATAAGACTTCCAGAAAAATGTATTCAAAATAAAAGATATAAATATGTGCAAACTAAAAAAATGTAATTAAAAATAGAAAAATACAAATTTAATGCGTTATTTAATGACATAGAATCCGTAAAATATCTCTAAAATTTATTTTCTGAAACACGTTATCAACATTTTACCTGCTTCAAAAAATATTAATGCCATATCACATTTGCTACTTCCAAATCGCAATTTGCATTTGAACAACACAATATTATGAGACGAGCTTTCATTGGCTTGTCCCGCCAAATCCTTCTCTTCTGCTGTTATATTAGTTCGCTTCGGCATTTTTCCAGAAGAGACACGGCTCATCACAATTAAAAACCTGCTGAGGCAGATAACCTTTAGAATTCATAAGCTTCTTTAATGCTCTGATGAAGTTCTCAGCTGTGTTTATGTCTGAGCTTGCTGCTTCTCCGTGGCTTAAAGCGTTGTAGATGCCGGTTCTTCTCTTAAACGTCTGGAACCATCCACGGCTTACCTTGAATGCTACTTCTTCGTCTGTTGATGATCCTGGGGTCTTCTTAACGAGGACAGCAAAAATTAGTTTCGCCTTCTTACAAATTATGATTTCGTTAGTAGTGTTGCCTTGCACTTGCTTCTCGATGCTGAAAGATTCCATATGAAAAGCAATTTTTCAGCATCGAGATTACGTGGGCATGCAAATTCTTGTGGACACCCTCTGAAGCATCAATCTCCTTCACCTTATCCTTATTTTTGATGATAGTGCAAATCATTGATTTAGACCGATTATATGTGCGTGCTAGGTCAGCCACACACATACACCTCTTTATCGCTTCTCAATGCTTTGGCTTTTTACCGATATGAATTTGTGGCATTATCTTTGAGGACAAACATGTAAGCATACTTAAATTTTATACTTATAAAAATACGCAATAATGTGTCTGAATACAACTTTCACAAGCGACAGTAAGATGCTACCTGAACGAGCGCTTAGCTGAGGTGAAAGCACGATCCTGCATGTGATATCACGATGTCTCCACGTCACTCTTTCTACTATTTTTTTTTTTTTTTTTTTTTTTTAACATTTTGTGTCGCTTGTTTTGCGAATCATTCGTTATGGAAGGTGTTCGTTAAGCAAGGTTTGACTGTATTTCAACTAAAAAAACTTCAGTTGCAGTCTTTAGTTCAACTCCAAGCGGAGTTCGTTCGCTGATTGGAAAGCCACATATGCAATGCATATGGGTCGCACTAATGGAAACAGAAATTTAGTGCGATTTTCTTAACGTTACATGAGAGTTTTTGCTTTCTATTTGCCGTAAGTTAATTTATTCTGTATCCAGTAATGTTATTAAAACAATAAATGATAAAAAAAGCTATATTGAATTGAAGAATTGCCACTAAAGCATCGGAATTCAAGGCGCGAAATCGGGGTCGCGGTTTATCAATAAATTGTTTAAACCTTACCCATTTTAAATGATTATTTAGCTTTAAGATTAATATATTTTATTAATAAGATGTTTTAAGCGTCGCATAATATTTTAACAAATGAAACAACATTTGTTTTAACAAACGAATTTTCGAAAAGTGTCCTTGAACGTTATGAAACATTCTGCTTGAATCTTTTCACTTGTAATATAATAGTTGTTGGATAAAGCTCTCTTTCCCCTGAAAGTGTAAATTTAGTGTCTGAAAGCTTTAACTCACCTGTTTGCATTTCAGTACGCATACAGTTTTAAGTACTTTTCAAAGCCTGTAGTGTTATATGATCACATTTGGCCTTGGGCAGTGTATAAAAAATCTTAAAGTTTTTTTTTATATCTATGAATATGAGACGGAAAAAAATTAGCTTGAAGTAATGATTCGAGTTTCTTTTTCTGCATACAGCGTTCAAAATGTTCTAAGCAATCTTATTTGTAATTTCACCTTTGTTTACTTTTCACCTTTGTTTATTTTTTTCAAATTATTGTGAATGAAAATTAAAAAATATATGAGCCATACTGGTAAGTAATTGCGTTTAAGAAATAACTCATGCCGAAACTGGAATTGTATGAACATTCAGTTTTATTTTATAATAAATTGCTAATTCTAGTATTTTTTTTCTATTATTCACAATTGATAGTGAATGTTTTGTTATTTCAGGAGAAACATATGATACCTTTAAAAGATGAGGACTGCAATCATTTAAAAAACTGTTTGAATCTTATGCGAAATCTTTTGCATTTATCAGAAGACACTACATCTTATGAGAAAGGCCTGACACAAATACATTCTGAATTCCTGGCTACTCAGAGCAAATTTATTTGGTAATATTATGAATAGTTTTTATTTGAAAAATTAACAATTCCTTCTATGAAAACTAGGTGGTATTAAGCCTTTTGCCTTACTTTTCGTGTATAGATTATAAATTATTTTCTTCATTGGCAATTTTCAATGTATTAATTTTTATGTATACGTAAATTATATAACTTAAGCGTTTCTTCACAGTTTTGATTATTTAAAATTTAAAAACTGTATAAGTTCAACAATTCCTATTAGTATGTAAGTAGATAAATTGGTTTTGAAGAAATAGAATTTTGCAGAATTAAAACAGGTTTGGAAACTAGATGAAATTTAGGTTTATTATTCTCATCATATAATTTGCATCAACGTTAAATATTAATGTGTGTCATTTGCGCATTTTCACTGAATACAGGCAAATACACATATGTTGTAATTTCTACTCGAGAACCACTAATTTTTAATACCTCAGAAACTGAAAGGAAAATAGAAATATGTAGCTGCTGGATAATGTTAGGACATTTGCAACTGTATTGTTACAAAAATTTGTAATTTTTTAAAAATTCTCTATTAAGTCATAACTTATTTTCAGTTCAGAACATAATTAAACTATTAACTGTCTTCATATTTCAGCTGTGTTAAGAATATTCACAAAAGATAAAATAAATGTGTTAATTATATAAAAACATAGATAATGGCATATTATGCTACAAAAAATAGTGATAAACATCAATACAAGCCAGCTATCCTTAAAAATACTCCATCAAGGCATCCCTTTTCTTAGGCTGATAGACATTGAATGCCTTACCTTGAATGCCTTTAAAGAAAGAAATATTTAATGGTTAGTACTTTTTATAGAATTATTATTGTGTACTTAATTTATTTCATTGGGGGTGTTCAAAATCAGCTAGATATCATATAAGAACAAAATATTATTATTCTAGATTTCAAAAATGTATTCAAGAGCCACAGACAACAGTATGGAAACCAGAGTGATCTGAAATTGTCTAGCTAGTTTTTATCTCCTTAAATAAGATGTATAAATTCTTCAGTTTCCCTGTGTCAGTTGTCTTGTATGGCATTTATATGGTATTTAATTTATTCAGTTCAGTACATTTTATTGATCTTTTATTAAATTTTTATTGTTTTTATCTTTGTTCCTGAAAATATTGTATTGTATCGGTTTTATCAGCTTTTTCCCTCTTTCATCGCAGTTAAAGTTCAGTTCTAAAATTCTTTATTATCCCATAACTCTTAATTATCAGCAAAAAAACAAAATTTAATTTTCCTCTGTGTCTATCTAGATATGTAAATACAGAGTGTTCCAAAAAGGTGGAACAACAAATTTTATTTCCATAACTATTTGTCTTGAACATTGTACTTCCATTTACGGAGTTTTTATTATCTCAAAGTAAAGTACAGAATTTTATGAAATAATTTTTAGCATGACTAGTGATGGATTTTATAAGTACAAAGTTTAATATTTTATATGGGCAGCTTCAATATATTCAGTTAACATAATTTTGTCTATGTATTGATGAGTTAAATTTTTTTTTTAAAAATGCCAGCCACTCAACTGTAAAATGACATTACATTAGGCATGGAAGAAGGTTGTTTGGGCTAAGTCAGTACATATATTCAATACGGCATTAGAATTTTTGTGCCATTACATTACACAAAGAAGTACTATAATGAGTTTTGAGTTTCTTTAGCGGCCCCATTCCCTCCAAAAGAGGTTATGAAAGATGAGTTCTTTAATAAAAAGTAAGGGAAATAAAGTGCCAGAGATTTACACTAAAAGAGAAGAACTTAGCCAGGTACTTTTAGAAGGAAACATATTTCATACTTCTTGCCCAAAATTCAAGGAAACTGCTTTCAAAGATACTTAATTAAATTTTATCATTAAAATTTTTAATGATTTTTCTCCCTTCAGAAGTATTGACCACCCTTCCATAAAAAAATATATTTTATTTTCAAATATAAAACCAGTTTTTGCATCTTGTTGATTTGACAAAAAAATTATTACTGTGAATGCTATGCAAATTATATATAGATTCAGTCTCAGCACATCAATTTATATGTCAAACTTTAATTTTGTAATCCATAATCCTTCCAAATTGGATTCTGCTGTGGGAAAAATAAAATATGGCATTTAGATATAAATATCTATCATAAATTTCAGAATTTTAGATCATCTACTTTTACTCGTATAAGATTGACATGTTTTACTTTTCATCATGGCAAGCTTTCAAAACATGTTATGTTACCTGTACACTAAAAATTTTAATCTTTATAATGACCAATTATATTTTTAAAAAATTGGCTGTGATGGAAAGCATTTGAATTGAATTACATAAATGAAATGCCAATTTTATTTCTTTAATTTGCATTGGAATTTTGTCAGCTTTATGATTAATTCCATAATTTTCGTTTTAATTTTGTCAGCTAGTATTTGTAATAAAGTTTTTGACAGAGTTATGATGAAATATAAACAATATTCTTATTCAAATATTTTAGAAATTTATAAAAATTTTAATTTGTTGTAAAGTTTAGTCCAGAAAAAAAGTTTGCTGTTTGGTGCAGTCTGTTTCTTAGAACACTTTTTTGGTTGGTATGTGTGTCTTGCTTATTAGCCTAATTAAACACTATGTCTACATGATATATTTAATGTAATATATACATGTAAATTACATAAAATGCATAATGGGGAAATATATGTAGTTATACATCCATAAAATTTGTTATTTCATACTTTAGTTTGTCTTACAACTTAATTTTTTTCCCTTTGCTATGCACAATTTAAATTATTTCTTCTAAAGGATTTATAATTTTTGCAGATCTTTTTCATGACTTTCATTTTGTTGTTACAATGCAGAAAGTTTTCTATTTTTATGCGGGTTAATTTTAATAGTTTTCTGTCCTTTATAGATTCACGTTATAAATAAGATTATATAGGAAAATTTTTAAATAATTTTTATTTCTTAGTATTATGCATTTCATTCTTAGTATTAGTTAGTATTATGCATGTATTATTTAGTGCTTTAATTGTGTTGCTTTTCCCGAGTTTTGTGCGTCAAGAAGCATAACAGTAGCTGGAAAGAGCAATTTTGGCATATTACGTTGCTTTTAAAAATCAGCTACAACTTTAGCTGGAAAACAGTGGGTGTTTCTGAATTTTCTTAGCTGTGCTAATTTGAAGGAAGGAAACAGTTTTGGTTATGTGCACATTTTAATGATGATCAGTGTTCTGATGTGAAAAGAATAAGGATATTATGTATGTTTTCTTAACACAGCTGTTCATTGTACAGATGATTCTTCATTTAACATTTCAGTATATTTATTAAGAATTTCTTACTTTTAGGAACTTATTTGTTCAAGGAGTAGATGGTGCACTTTTACTGATGCTCAACAGTAAATATAGAGTAAGGATCTAAATCTGCATACTTATGTTGAACTGTTGAATGCAACTTTAGTTTGATTTAGTCTTTAATGTATTAATTTTTTCCTCATTACATAATTAAAATATTATCTTTATACTTTCAGGCTTACTGGACAGCTCCTTTAGCTCACATAATTGCTCTACTATATAGAGGCCAAGTAAGTTTGCTTTTTTTTATTCTAACAAAATATCTTGATTGCACTTTCTTTCTAACACTTGGAAAAAATTAATATCATAAGGTATCTTGCCTTTAGAATTTTTAAGACATAACTCCAAAATCTTAGATCTGCAAATTTTTCTAATTAAGGGGACTCATATACCTTAAAACACATAAAATGTTCGAATAGGTGACTGTTGCAAGAATTGGGATAACTTATTTATTTTAAAAGCAATTACTACCAACTTTTTACAGCTGACTACATAATATAGCTGCTTTCTGAAATAGCAATCAGAAAGTCTGTGTTGCCACAAATATTTTTATAATTTAATCCGCTTTGTGACAAACTTTTTCGTCATGTTTCCAACTTGCGCGCACAGTTTAAAACATTCTGTTTCATAATTTAATTCCATATTTAATATATAGCTTTTATAACATTTGGAAACTACTGTGAACCTAAAATTCTAAAAATTTCACGTTAAATTTTTATTTTATTTTGAATTGAGTTTATAAAATGCATTTTATTAACAAAATTTGTAATGTTTTCGTCCATAAAATTTTTCAGTATTAAAATATTCATCAGATTGTTGGTTCAGTTAAAAAAGAGTGCTCATATAAAGAATTCCATCGAATTTCAAGTATGTACCATTAGCCATTTTTAAAATATCATGCGCGCAAGGTGGAAACAGGACGAAATATTTTGTCGCAAAGAGGATTAATTTACAAAAATATTTGTGGCAACACAAACTTTCTGGTTACTAGTTTCCAAAGCAACTATATTATGTAGTCAGCTGTAAAATGTTGAAAGTAATTGCTTTTAAAATAAATAAAATATCCCAATTCTTGCAACAGTCACATATTCGAAAATCATGAGGGGTTTAAGGTGTATGAGTCCCCTTAAATTTCCTATATTATCATTCTGAAAAGTACTTTTACCCTAAACCGTTGCTACTTTTAAATAGGAAAAGCTGTTGTTATTGATAGTGATGTGCGGTTTAATCACATTTGTTCTTAAATGCATCATATTATAGTAAAATATTAAATTCTAATTAGAGTTATTAAATTCATCAGTAAATATGAGTGAAACAAGATGTATTATAAGCCAAGCATCTTGTGTTTTGAACATATTCTTTTTCATTTTACTTTTAGTAAACATAGTATTCTATATCCTGTACTGTTAAAAAAAACAGCTTATTAAGAGTAGAAATTAAATAGCTGAAGATGAGAAAATAAGAAATATTTTGTGCATTTTTTTTTTTTTTTTTTTGCATTTCATTGAAATTACAGTGTGCTGCGTAGTAGTATTATTAGTATATAACTGAGAGGCTATTCTTTCCCGTGTGCTTTATTTCATATTTTACATCATACATTTTTACTGTCACATTTCTTTTTCAGATATGTCTTAATCTATAAAAGCATTGAACTCCGGTTCCTTATTAGTTCTAAATCTCAAATGTTAGATGTATTTTGGCTATGATATGTACATGATAAAAGTATTAGATACTTTAATTTTAAAATAATTAACTTTTTAGTTAACATAGGTAATTGTTAGTAATAACATAGTTAATATTTATGTTAACTTTTTAATGACGAATTTCTTTGTTACAACATTAATTTCATGAATAGTTTTTTAATGAAATAAATATTTTTTTATAAACCTTGGCAAGTTTTCTGCTGCCACATACTTCACTGGCTGTGTATAATTTAAACTGGGCTGGTTAGGTTAGGTTATTTAATTATGGCAAAGCCTCGAGGGCTATCTGCCTAAGGGGAGGGATGCCTTCGTGGAGGACTTTCTAAGGGAAAATGGCTCGTATACACGTTACGCGTGGGGAAAACCGAAAACACCCATGCAGCCAGCCCGTTCGGGGGATTCGAACCTCGAACCGAACTACCAGTGTTCAGCGACTTTACCGCTCGGCCGCTGGTGGGCTAAAACTGAGCTGGAGTATTTAGAATAGGATTGCGTTAAATATAGTTATTGAACTTCCGTAATTCTTTTAAATTACCTTTCCATATTTTAAAAATCTGATACAATGAAACTAGAACTTGGGTGATTTTCTTTCTTTAAAAAACACAAACACGTACATAAATAAATACTACAAAACAAAAAAACTGTTAATCATTCTGTAAAGTTTATCCTTTTGATACTAGAAATGGGAAAAAATTTGCTCTATTTTGCATTAGATAATGCGAAGGAGAAATTTGGTGAAGCTTCGGAAATGAATTGGGTATTTGAATATAATTAATATTAGAAGCCATTTTTTGTATTAATGAATAACTAAGAATAATGAAGTGCTATGTAACATTTTAATGATGAAATCTTGAAGAAGTTCATGAAAATATATGATAATCACATATTTTTTAATACTTTATGAAGGTTTCGTGCAAATCAAGTTTGTATATGTGAATGTTTTGTAATGTTATGCAACATTTTCAATTAATGAATTGCATTCACCAAATGGAACATTTTAAATTTGTTTAAAGCTATAAATAAAAATTGCAGAGTTTTGTTATTTCAGATATGAAACGTAAACTGCATTAGGATGGTTTCAGTCCTTTTAAATACAGATCCTAATAAATTTGCTTTTTAGTGGAGAGATAGTAGCAAATTTTACAGTTGATCTCAAAATGGAAGGGAGCGACAGTTCCCTAGTTCTTTAAAAGTTCTTTAAAAGTCCTGTATTCCTTAAAGAAGTGCATAAATATCTCTGCATTTTTTGAACATAAGAATTTCTCTAGAAACACATGCAAATAAAACATTAAACGATCTGTTGATAATAAGCTCGTGTTAAAAGTATTTTTGCAGTGTATCAAAAATTGCTTTAGTAATATCAGTACATATTTATAAGCAGTGCACTGTGAAGTAACTTCAAACTTTTGCACAAAATGTTAATTTTTTAATCATGAAAATACAACATATATATTTTATTACATGTCTTCTACAGATTATAAAAGGCTTTCATCATTTGAATTCTTGGCTCTACTCTTATATGCGCCCTAATATCACCAAATGTGGCGATATGTGTTCTGCGCTAGGTTTTGGCGCGATTGCGTGTTGTATGGCAACGTTGTTGACGTTGAAAAAGCTTTTCCTGGGGTGGTTTAATTGCTCGTTGGGTCATGTCGTGCGTGTTTTGAAATGGCCTATGTTGCAATGATAGAAGCGGTGGCAAGATTTCAGTCGCGTATTTTAGATTGTGTGGAAAGTAAATTTAGTATTAAAAGGTACGATGTCGGAATTGTTAACGAGTCTTTTGTTCACGGGTGTGTTTATGAAGATTGATTTTTGGAATTTCTGTGGGACTTTTAAAACGGAGTCGGAAATGCGGAGCTGCTATGAGAAATCGGACGAAGAAGGGCGTTTCTGATAGTTCTTGTGTGGATTTGCAGTTAAATGGTTGCTGGTAAAGTATGTGGCTGTCAGCGGAGTTTTAAGATTTGGATTGTGGTTTTTGTGTAGTATGTTAACTTTGGAGGAAGTTATTATCGTTAATTTCGAAATTCTGAATCTCAGAAAGACATGTGATATAGCAAAATCGTGGCACTTTTGTTCAGAGACGTTGTGTGACTGGCGAAATTTTTTCAGGGTTGTATTTGTTTTTTTTACTTACCTCGGTAAGCCTTGTGTAATACTATGTGGTGCACAAGGATTTAAAATTTTCAATTAAAAAAAGTATTATGGTAAGTGCATTTTATTTTACTGTTTTTATTTTGTAGAATGTTATGTTTATTGTTTTTTTACTATGAATTTCTGTTGTTATTGTTAAACAGCAATAGTTGAATTGTTTGTAGTTTAGTTTAGTTTATTTGGTTGATTTGTGCGCAATGCCTAGACTGGTCAATTGGTAGATGTTCTTTTCAGTTTAAACAGAATGCTGTGTACATGGTATTCTTTGAAATTTATTGTTGTTATGTTAATTTATTGAAGCGAGGTGTGCGTAGCTCGTAGATTCCTTTGCTGCCTAGAATATGAAATTCGTAGATGTGTTTTGAAGTTAAAACGTATCGCTGTGTACATGGATTCTTGTCAAATATTTTTGGTTAGAAACTTTACGTTTTTGTATCTAAATTTTTTTGTTTTTGTTTCGGATTTTTAGCTTAAATTGTGTCTTCAAAACGTGTTTTTGCATGTGCGAAAACCGCGTTTTTGGAGACATTTTAGGCTTAAAATTCGTAATGTCGACAAAAAATTTAGGTAGTAATATGGCGGAGTGGTGTTTTTCGCCAAAAATGTTTGTTGAGAAATTTGGCGACCTGAGGGCGCATTTAAGAGTAGTTCCGAATTCTTTAAAATATTGTTAAGAAACACCTGCCACTTTAATAAGTAACAAATTAGTTAAAATTTATCAGTTCTTTATACAATGGGGCTTTGTGTAAAAAATGTTATCTCACATAAAGAATGTCCTACGTAACAAATGCTCAAATGTGTGCATAGATTAGAAGATATCCTGTATTACGTTAAATATGGAACTGCTTTCCCTGTTCTAAGGGCGTTGCATCAATAAACACCAGAAACAGAGATTGGAAACGTAAAAAATTGTTTTAATGTTATTCTTTTACCACTGCAGATTTGCAAGACGTTAAAGCACGAACATGAGGAATGTCTAGAAAGCAGTTCATTCTGTTGAGCAGAAGGAGAAGGCTAGGGAAAGCTGTATCACTGTAACCATTAAGAATGGGAAGAGAATCATGCCATGCTGGATCAGTGATATCCCCTTAAATTTTAGATAAACAAAACAGCAGATCTGTTTGGTGACAATGCCACTACTGTTTCGTAACTATCCTGAAAAAGACGATACTAATCACTTCGGACAACTTGAAATCTGTACTCCCCAGAAAACTAAAGGCATATGAGCAAGAATATCAAAGAAGACTGTAGCTAGTACTTCTAGTAGTAAATTAGGAAAGCGGAGGCTAAACTAAACTGACAAACTGTTGAGACTGTATACATACATAATGTACATAAATATTTTTAATAACTAACAAAATGTATTAGGGTTTTAAACACTGTTGGTATTTTTAATACTCTCTGAAATTTTTCAGTGTTTCTTGATGTTTGACTGGGCTGGGGTATAAATGAAATTTATTCATGTAGTAAGCAACACATGAGAAATAATCTGTGTCATAATGAGAAATTCACCTAATGAGCAGATTGCATTCATTATGCAAGGCACTACTGTACTTGTTAAGAACTTGATATACTGAGTTCATGAGGTGCAGCATCGAAAGTTAACTAGTTTTTGTTACTCGAAATTTTCTATTTTGCGTCTTAATGCGAAAGAGGATATATCCACTTGCTTTAAGTGCTTCTTTATCTATATACTCTTCTAAAGTATGCTGTTTGACTATTATAAGTTTATACCTGTTTAAAAATCTTAAATAACTTATAATTATGAAATTTATTTCATTGTATTTTCTGTAAATAGTTCAAATCTTTTACTGTGTTAGTTGTTAAATGATAAAATGCTTTTTGATTGTGTGTGAATAATTGTAGTAACTCATTTTTTTATAATGAAATTCAAAATATTTAGTGTACTTGATATTTTCTAGTGGTGTTCATTAATTGATGATCAATTTTAATCTAATTGTAATTGGCTTGATTTACAGAGTATATCAAAAGTTCATCTGGCACTAGAATTAGTATCTTCAGCTTCAGAGAGCTCTGGTGATGAAGAAAGTGATGGTTCAAAGAATTCATCCTCATCATTAAGCAGTGAACCTTCAAAAAGTAATGGATTAAGTGATTCAGGATGTCCTTCAAATTCTGATGTATCTGTTATATTTTCTGATGAACGAAAAGACTGTCTTGAAGAATCCAAAAAATGTGGTAGTTTAGATATTCATACTGAGCTTGAAAAAGTGCAAATCTGTGATGATGATCCAAAATTTAACATTCAAGTGAAACGAATAAATAGTTCAAAAAATGGTGAGTGTAAAATGAAAGTCTCTTCTTATCGGGATAATGATTCTGAAAGTTCAAGTTCATCTGAATCACCTCATCATAAAAAAATTAAAGGGAGTAACAGTTCATCTGATGGGATGAAGTTGAAGGAATCTTCGGAGGGTCCTTCAAAATATGATTCCGCTCTGTGTGAAAGTATGGATCATAGTTCACCTGACATCACGGAAAGTAAATCCTCTGATGATGATCTTTTTGAAGACAAAAAATCAAAAAATCTAAAAGCTGTACATAAACTGAGATGCTTGCAGATCCATTCAAAAATATTAGAAAGTGATTCAAGCAATGAGGATGTGCAAGATGTAAAAGTAAAATATCGTAGCCATCCACCTGCTGGTCGAAGAGGTAAGAGTCCTAGGAGAAATAATGGTTGTATTCCATCAGTATGTATGGATTCTGCCTTTGCTGTATCATGTGTTAGAGGAAGAATGAGGTATCCTTTGTGGGAAAAAAGAAATAGTTTTTCTGCTTTAGTGGATGCCTCTTGTCCAACTCCAACAGATGATGATATCGGGTAAGGACCGTTCTTGGATATGTGTTGATTTTTTAATGAATAAACTTGATGTATACATTGTCATTATTTTGCTTAATGTTTATACAAACGTTCGTGTGCACGCCTTCCTTCTGTTACAGATATATCATAGCTGCTCCATGAGATGTTTGCACAAAAGAGGAACAACAAGCAGTGATCTGATTCCTCTGGTCAGAGGGTGTCAAAGGGTCAGACATGAATAGGCGAATCACTATTGATGAGGTAGCATCTGCTTTGAACATCAGTCATGGCTCTGCCCATCAAATCATACACGACGAGCTCGGTTTTCATAAAGTCTGTGCAGGGTGGGTACCAAGAAAGCTTACTGCAGAACACACGCTCACTCGTGTTAGGGTCTGACAATGGTTTGTCAAAACCATTGTCAGACCCTAACGTGATAGTGCACTTTTCCCATATTGCGATGATAGTTTGCGATGCATGTCTGACCCTTTGACACCCTCCGACCAGAGGAATCAATCACCGCTCATTGTTTCTCTTTAGTGCAAACTTCTAATGCAGCCCCCATGATATATCTGCAACAGATGGAAGAAAAATGGAAGAATTAAGATCAAACTTTCACAGCATTACCACAACAGTATAACAATAAAATATGCGAGGACAGAAGACAATGTAACAGTGTAACAGAACAATGGACAGAAGTGCGCAATGTAAGAAGTTATGACAAAAGTGTAGATAATTTTTGACTTGCCCTCGTATAAAATTTTGCATCATTTCTAATAGTAGAGCAGGGCTTTAAATTCTTTTTATGTTTTAAATTGTGTTTTTGTACTACTGTGTTATGTTAATTGCATTGAATTTTGGACTTGGTATATTTTAATGAGAACTTGGTTATCATTTATGCTGTAAGGTCAACATAGAGCTGCGTACAGTAGGTTTCCCCGGACATTCTGTAATTGCCCTAAAGTCATACTTGATTGAAACGCATTAATGTATAGTTGTTCTCATATTCACAAACCACGAGAACTGCTACGATGTTGAATAAACCGATATCATATGAAGAAGCAAGTTGAAAAATAAGAAACGTATCTTTTCACATTTTTTATTGAAACTTAACAACACGTGCACAACATTACAACGGCATTCATAGCTCGCACGCAGAGAAGAGACTTGGTGTTGCCAATATGGTAAATATAAATGTACCAAACTAACAATAGTTACTAGTAGTGTGTATTTAATCATGATGAAAATTTTATTGCATACAGTTTAGTAGGTTAAAAACAATCTTTTATTAGATACAAAAAAATCTTTTACTGTTACATATCATATAGAAGGAAAATTGAAATATCAATGTTTTTTTGTAAATGTAATTAATTTATGTTTTTCATCATTTTTGCCTTTATGTTTCTTCTGCTTACATTGCTTTAGTTATTATTCATACATTTGCTTAAAATTAATTTAATAATTTGTTTGCTACACAGTCCTTTATTATATGTTTAGAAAAGTACTTATTATTTAATGACTTGATTTATACTTTTCAGAAACCTCTTAAAGGAATTTACCTTAAGTTTTATGCATAGTGGTTTTTCCAAGTTAGTTTTGGAGATAAAGGTATGTTTCTGTTTAAATTCAGAAAGCTCTATGATGTTTGAAATTTATATGAAATGTGTTAATTTTAATTCTTTGAGTTAGTTTTTTGCAAATGTGAAATAGTATTCTAGCTTTAATAAAGTCATATTCCTTTCAAATCGTAATTTATTTTTTTGGATAAAATTAAAAATTTTTTAATATTTTTTGAGAGGCAAGAGCATAGCATATTAAGGATTTTTCAAATTAAATGAGTTCATTATGTGAGAAGATGAAAAATTCATAAAAACTAATTTCAAGTTCTAGTAATTTTTAAAATATCATTTAGACACTGAGAGCCTGATTGTATTAATGGAAATGATAGTCAAACAAAATTTCAATATTAAAGACATACTGACAAAATTCATAAATGTAACGTTATTCCATTTCAGAGAAAGATATCATCTCAAAAATTAAATGAAATTTAAGATAGAAATTATAGAATATCTCTTAATTTGCCATTGAAGAAAAACTTGAAGAAAACAATAGTGTCAGTTGTTAACGCTTAGAAAATAACAGAAAATAATCCATAGCATTAGGGCACACAAGTATTTTAAATATAGAGCTCTCTTGTTCTCTTTGCTTTATGATGAAAATATAAAAGTTTTTAAGCCATTATTTTAAAATATTATTTGCACTATCTAAAAATATCACTGGAAGAACTCTGAATTCATGTTATTCATTCTGAAAAAAAAAACGTTTAATATTGGTTTTTACCTCTTAAATCCAACAATCTTATATTAGAACCTGCCAGTTGTTAAACCTCAAAAAATAGTGGAAAACAGAAATTGACTACAGCTCTTGTGTAACTATAAACACATACCTAACATCTAGGCCTTCTGAAATACTCCACATTTGTAGACAACAGTTAAGCTACTGGTAGCTTAACTACACCAGTACCTTAACTTCTGTCTTGAAGTAGCTTAACTACACGAGTAGCTTAAATTCAGTCAAGCCATTCTTATCTTATCACCCTATCATACCTCAATCATTTAAACTTAGGCAGCTGAGGATGTTGGTTCTATAGTTAAACCATTGAAACTAGTCCTGCAAAATTTACAAATATTACTCTGATTCTTGTTGTTTGACTTATAACGTTGCGCGCCTCTAACTTGCACGCAACCAAGAGGTGACTGTGAAAGCTTGTATAAACCCCAGAGTCTTATAAAGGGTTTAAGTCCCTTTTTATTCAACGTAATAAATTACAATGGCGTCCTCTTGACGCTTACAGACTGTGCCCACTAGGCAGTCAAATAAAAATAAAAACCTGAAAAGAAAGTAAAGACAATATTCTAACTACGAGGCTCTCTAAAATAACTAACTCACCGCGTTTTACAAATACCGCAGCTAATTCAGCAGACTTGAAGCTCACTGGAACAATTGCAACTACTTCCCGCCAAGCACATAGGCCGCAACGCGGGGTTCTTCAATTCTCGATAACTACCTCCGCGCTCGCTAAGTAAGAATAAATTCTCTCACCGAACTCGTTTCCTTCTATTTAAATCATACTACTTCCGCTGATAATTTGAATGCTTGCGCGTTCTACTCAAATTTACATATTCTGGCATTGGCAGTTCCAGGGGAAAGTAAGGATTGACAGGAAAGATAGTTTAAACTTAAAATAAATGTTAGTTAAAATAAATATAAACCCTACATTTGCCGCTGTCAGAATTTGGAAAACTTGGAAGCAGGTCCTACAAACGACCTGTTGTAAGTTTATCTAATTCTGAACTAACTGGCGAAAGCCTCGTTTACACAAAAAAAAATCTTATGTAACAATTATATATTAAAATTCTGTTACTTTTTACAAAGCTTCTCTTCTTACAGCAACTTTTCCTGGACTTCATCAATCAATCTTGGTCTTTCCTTCCAGCATCTGGAAGGAATAAGTATCATCAGTATCTTTCTACATACATTATAATTTACACTTTCTTGACACAATAAATTTTTGTTTTTAAACGATTTCGTTTTTCTTAGTTATTGCTTACTTCACATTCATTCAATTTTTCAAGCATTAATTTAACTTTACCCTGGCTCTCCACCATGTGTGGTGTCAAACGGGAATATTCGTGTTTTAGTCTTACAACACTTCCCCTAACCACCATGATTTGTTAGAATTCAACAACCAAATAGACACACCTTACTCGACATTCTACAACTCAATGAAGCTACTTTAATATTCTTAAAAATTCAAATGTAGGTGGAGAACCCTACAAAACACATTCATTCTAACTTCTAACTTCCCCCTCATTCATCTTTAAACATGCAGGCTTTCGCTCTAAAGCATGACTTTACAGTTTTAATACTTAAATTTTGACTTCATTGCTTTTAAGCATTCACTTTTAGCATCTACAATTTTATGCTTCTAGACTAAATTCTACTTTTACATAACCTTCAAGTATTTACGTACATTTACAAAATTTTAATACATATGCTTTTTACAATTTACCATAAAATGAATAAGAGAAAATAAATTTTTTACTTTACTCATTCTTCGCCAAGCTGGCGGCACTGAAACTAAAATTCTTATTAGTACAAGAATACGAAGTTATTTTTATCTTCGGCCAAATTTTGGCTTTAACATAACAGAATTAGTCTTTCGACCAACAGAAAATGCTTGTTTTTAGCTTTTACACTTAAAGAAAATAATACTTTTGCCTTAGCTAAATAAAGTAAAACAAAACTAAGTCTCAACCGAGACATATTGACTTTCGTCAAAACATAGAACTTCGTACTTATGCATAACATTTCGGAACAAAAGAGAAAAAAAATTTATAGAAGGTTTTAACTTATCTTTGAGTTTTCGATGCTTGAAACTCCGTCATCCGTTTTTTGGCAAAATTGATCCCAAGTTAGAGGTTTCATGGATGTCAATCTTCTCCTTATTGATCTCCGAGTGTCGTCCCCGTTGCTTTTTCTTTTGCGTCCTCTACATGCTGGCCTCTTGACGGAGTAATCGTCTGGTTGTTGGCCTTTGCGTTTCTGCCTGGGACGGCTGGTCTTGACGTCCTCCGGTCTGGAGTCCTTCTTGAATTTCTTCTGTTCCTCGTATTTTTGTGCCTCCTGTTGGCGTTTCAGTTTCCGGAACGGCGGCCTTGCTGGCACCTGACTCTGTGGCCGTGTGCGCGTTCTCCTTGATGTGTAATTTCTCCTGCCATCTTTTGTAGGTGGTGTTTTTCGTCTTTACCACGGTTTCTTTACCCGGTTCATCTGTATTTTTGTTTTTCTTAAACGCCGGAGTTTGAAAATCATTTTTTTTTCTTTTTGATACCGACGTCCGGGTTGTAGAAGTGCTAGGTCTCTCTTCAGTTCTCCGTTTCTTGGGTGGTGGAATAGTTGTTGCAGTCTCTGGCCCTTCTATTTCGTTTAGACTTGAGTCCTGCAAGAAACTTTTAAGGATTTCAAAATCATTTGGATTATAGTATTTTTTCACCTGGTCGGGACTTGCTTTACAGATTTCCCCTCTCTCGTTTTTTAAGATATAAGACTACTCCTTTGATTTCCTGAATTACATAGGGGCCTTCAAACTTTGGAGCTAGCTTTGCCATAAAATTGTCTGGGGCACTTGATAAAGAAAATTTCCGCTTTCAATACTTTATCCCCAACTTTAAAATCTGCTTCACGGCGTTTTCTATCATAATATAATTTCTATTTCTTGCCGTATCCGAGGTTTTAAGCGCCTGATCAATCAACTTTTGCACGTCTTTTTGTTTAAATTCCTGCTCTCTTTGTTGCACAAAGAATAATTTATCTAAAGGCGTAATTAACTTTCTGCCTAAAAATAATTCTGCTGGAGTTTTTCCCGTAGTATCATGATGTGCCGTTCTTAAAGCATAAGCTAATTCATTTATGTAGCCATCCCAGCGCTTGTGATGTGTGCTCAACGTAACTGCGAATTATTTTTACAATGTTTTTATTAACTCTTTCTGCTATGTTAGCCTGTGGTCTATACGGAACCATTTTGATATGGCGTATGCCAAGTCCATTGCATATGTTTTCAAATATTTGACTAATGAATTGTTTTCCGTTATCGCTAATGACTTTTATCGGTGCACCGTATTTTAAAATGTATCTGTGTAAGAATGCATCTGCGACTGTTTTGGCTGACGCGCGTTTAAGTGGAACAATTTCTATCCATTTTGAAAAATGATCTACTATTACTAAAAGAAAACGATTTTTATTTAACTCGCTCTGGGGGAAGGGACCAAGGAGATCTATGCCTAAAATTTCATTCGGAAATGTAGCGCGAATGCTATTTAAGTACCCGGCCGGGCTGTAATTAATATCATTTATTAACTGACATTGATTGCAGGACCTGACATACGCCGTTACTATTTTGTATAATTGCGGGAAATATACCGCCTCGCGTACCCTTTTTATAGTCTTTCTGACCCCGAGGTGGCCCGCTGTTTTTTTTTCGTGCAACTCCCTCAAAATGCTTAATCGAAGCGAGGCTGGGATGACTGGCTTATACTCAAGATTTTCGTTTGTTGTTTGCGTATAGAATAATAAATTATCTATTATTTCATAGTTTGTAAGGTATTTCTCCCGCTTTCCAAGCGTCCTTCGTGGTGTAGTGGTTCTGCACGCTGGCCGGTATTCCATTCCGTGGTTCGATTCCCGGCGAAGGCGTTGTTAATTTTCCAATATCCTCTCTACAGAACTAAAAGGGTTGTGCTCCACACCCGGATTTGGCAACTAGGTCCTAAACCCTAGTCGCCCTTTCTCCCGCTTCCAAGGTCCTTTGTGAAGGTGTTTCGATTCCCGGCGAAGGAATTTTTCATCTCTCCGGCCTCCAAAAAAAATATCCTAAGTCTCTACAAGTTTTTTGCTCTATTTCGCATCGATATCTGTGTGCTCGGGAAATAAGCATAGATATTTCCAAATTCAGGATCAGCTTTCAGTTCAGTAATAACCGTATCTCTAGAATCTAAAATTTTTGAAGTCAACACAGCGCATTTAAGTTCATTACCTTCATCGTCCAG